AAACATATAGTCGTTTGAATAATTATATTAAAACTCAGATTAAGAAAATACATATAAAGACAGTAACTTCTATGAATTAAGTGCAAAGTCACATGACTCTTAGATATTGATTGAACAGACTTGTTTTATCTATAAGTAGAACTTAGTGTGACTAGGTAAAAAAGAAGAGGATAAATGTCTTTGAATCTCCTTTCTTGAAATATAGTTGTTTTCTTTGACTTTCTTCATGCGACAAACCAGATATCGCCATAAACATCTAATGTTAGAATGCTGACCTATTATTATACTCATGTGTAGATATATGAGATGTTATAAAAGCGTAAAAATTGAGTTCTTTCTTGAAATATTGAACTTCCTGAAAAATTTGACTTTTTTTGATTTGCTGATGGAATATTAGTATTATTTGAAAATTCAATATGTCGACAAATAAGTATTTGTTTCGACTGAAGTTTTTAGAATTCTGTGACAGTAGCATTATAACTAATTAGTTTGATTACATAAACGGTATAGTGTTTCAGAACACCATTGACAAAAGTTAAAGTACAAACCTCTTCCTTGTATCATAAAATTTTGAAAACAAATTATAAATATTTTTCTTATTTTTGGAAATATAATTTGACTTATGGAAAATTAATTGCATCATTGGATACAGTTCATTGTGTTGTACTTGAAACCTGGAAAAAAAAGCTCTGCAACATGCTTCTGGACGAAACATTGCTTATTTCCTCTACATGAAAAATTCATTTTTCACTCTGTGACTCCTATGTAATAGCTGCTGAAGAAAATACCAATTATAGAGTTTTCTTGAGCGAAATGTGTTATATCAAATAAGATACTAAAACTTTTCCTTCTACAACAGAGGACTGTGACCTTCTATTACCTGCACACTGATAAATTTGTCAGTGGTGCATTTTATTGTATTTCATATATTATCATAATTTTTGATTAGAAAAGATTTTTGAGCAAATGAAAAATTTATTCTGAAGAGTTGAAACGAAGCTGTTAATGTTTTAAATGCCGTGAAGTAGCTTTGATTTGAATCTTTGAAAGGTTTCAGCTGAAAATCATGAAAACCAGTCACATTTTGAAGTAATTTGACTAACAAAAGTTCAACATTTTCTAGAAATTAATTAATTAAATAGAATCTTCTGTTTTGTTCAGCACGTCGTTCCGGCAAACAGTCTTCTGTTGTGAGACGGGAGAGAAGGTTCGTTGGGAAACATTCTTATACTTTATCACAGAGAAAATTGATAAATGCATACTAATAAACTTTACCATGAGGAAGCTTTTTTTTCGAAAGTTCTTTTACAAACCCATTCGATGTGGAGTCTATAACTTGTCAAGTACAAGGTAGAGTTAACTAAAGATTTCGACTTTTTCGATGATACTTATCCATTTTTAATCAAGAAATAAAATGATCAGTGTTTTTGAGAGTATGATAGCGTTTGATGATGTAGCAAACATTTTCTTAAAAAGCTAATATTCTTTATTAATTGCCGCATACTTTGCTCATTAGACGACGAACTTAGTTGCAAATGAACCATACCAATCATCCGGTAGAATTTGTGAGTGTGTCATACCACATTATATTTTGTCGATGGCGATTATACTGGTCATCATAGGTATCCTTGGAACACTTGTGGGAACCATTTTATCAAACACTGTTTTAAAACCTAAATTATCTGTAAATACAACAATGATGCCAACAATCCCTTTCACAATGGCAATAACAAACACGATGACAATAGTGCAAACAAGGACAGCAACGATTACAACAAGCACAAAGACAACAACGCAAATAACGGCAACAAGCATAAAAGCAACAGAACAAACAAGGGCATCAAGAAGAATAACGGCGACAACAAGAACAACACAAACAACGGCAATGACGACAACAATGAGCACAACGAGAACAACACAAACGATGACAAGAACAACAATAGCAGGCACAACGACAACGAAACAAACAAGAACATCAAGAAGAATAACGACAAAAACAAGGACAACAAGCATAACGACAGCAACACAAATAACGGCAGCAACGACAGCAACCAGCACAACGACAGCAACAGAAATAACAGCAGCCACAACAACAACAAACACAGCGACAACAAAACAAACAAGAACAAAAAGAAGAATAACGATAAAAACAAGGACAACAAGCATAACGGCAGCAACGACAACAATCAGCACAACGACAGCAACAGAAATAACGGCAGCCACGACAGCAAAACAAACAAGAACAAAAACAAGAACAACGACAAAAACAAGGACAACAAGCATAACGACAGCAACGACAACAACAGAAATAACGGCAGCCACGACAACAACCAGCACAACGACAGCA